TTCCTCACCCAGTCACAGGAAATGACTGATCCTCTCTGAGACCAGTAATCCAAGTCAAAGGAACTTCTTCCTCTCCCCTGTCACCAAGTCTCTGCTGATTCTCAGTGAGAACCATTCGGGTTCTCTCTGTAACACAGTAGGATCCTTAACATAAAGCCCATTGAGAGCTTCATACGCATACAGCTACATTATTAAAATGCTGCTTCTTAATCATGGATTGTGTATAAAGATGAGCGCAGAAAGCCACTGTTTGCACTGAAGCTGGATTATAGAACGACTTCTTGTTGCATTGAAATGTTGCTTAAATTCCTATTGAAGCCAAATAACAGTGGAAGCCATGAAGAAAATAAACACAAAGGTGCACAGGAGGAAAAGTTGTAATTGTCCAAATAGTTGGACTCTACCGCATTATCAAATAATTAATTTTGGACAATACATATGAATGAACATTTTAACAAATGTAAATATGCCAGATTATAGCCTCAGGCTAATTTCCGTCTGCAGACCCTCTGGCAGGTTGATGTTACACACAAGTTAATAACAATATACAGAGACATTATTTACAGCCCATGTATATGGAGACAAGGACAAACAATGGGAACTAGAATGGACAACAGAGGATCAGATAAATAACCAGAAAGAGGATTTTGAAAGAGTCCAATTCCTCCATGTCACTCAGCCATTAGATATGGGTGTAAACATTCCCATCATGCCTCTGTTCAGCTGTGGGCCAGCTGCTGCTCCGCGGGGTTACAGATAGGAAGGGAGGGAAAAGGAGCACAATGTAGAAGAAGAGAATACCAAGATGGGAGAAAGAGTTTTAAAAAAATGAAGTGAGAGAACTCAATCACAAAGGAGAACTGAGGGGTAAATATAGAGGGAGGGGGAAATGATGAGGAGGGCACGGTGGGAGAAAGATGCAATTGCTTATGCTTACATAAGAGGAGGAGGAAGACATCAGAGAGACTAACATGTAGAAAAAGGAGAAAGATGTGAAGACGAATAGAGATAAGTATAGATGAAGATGGAGGCAGGACGACGAGTTGGCTGGACATCGTCCAACATCATTTTTGTCAAATGTTGCTGACATTGAAGGAAATGGTGCGTTTGTTGGATAATTTCCAGTAGCAGACATTTGGTGCTCAAGTGAGTATTTGGGTCAGCGTGGCAGTGAATGTAGGACTGTGTGTGTATGTGTGTGTGTGTGTGTAATCTTTTCTTCTTCTACATTTAATATTTCTGTCATGATGCTGCTGGAATGGAGAGAGAATGGCTATTATATATATATATATATATATATATATATATATATATGCATCACCCATTTATTAGTGAGGTCATAGTGTGAGGTCGCTGTCCTGCTGGTTTGAAATCAGACATGAGAAGGGCCCTGCATGCTCATCAGTTATCAACTTGTGCATCACAAAGTAGTCCCACTTATAATGTGGAAGGATATGTGAAAGGACCTACTTGACATTAGCCCAGGGGCCCATGAGCCTGAGTTTCAAGTACTAATTAACTCTCATAAAGAGATTTAAAACTATCAGACTCAAGGTGACTGAACATAGAGAGCAGCTAAAGAACTAGAAGGAGAAGCAAAATGTGCACCAGCTGATACGGTGTGTTTGCAAACAGAGAGAAAAGTGTCCATTATTAAAGTTCAGTGTAACTGGGGGGAAATGCAAATGACCAGAAATGGAGTTGAAACTGCAAACAGACAGAAAACACGTCTGCATGTTTTTGGTGTTTTGTGCTTCTTAGCCTGTGTGACTCATCATGTAGGACGGGCGAGGTCCTTTACAAGTCTGTGCCTGGGGGCATGCTGTCTGACCTAAAGTAGGCCCTGATTTATCCTCCTGTTTGACTAATGAGAGCCACAATTTTCAAAGTAAACATAACAAAAATTCAAAAAAGGAACGTGTTTACTGAGATCGTGGATTAACAGAGCCAAAGGCTGTTTTCTCATAAACTTTGATAATAAACTGACTTTTTTGTAAAACCACGAAATTCACCACCTACTGGCCATTAGAAGAATTGCAGGTTTATCTCAGAGATTGGTTGTTGTTGTTTTGTTTTTTTTAATTCTCCACATGTTTGAATTGAAGCTTAACTCTCCCCAGCTTCATTGAAATTATATTTAAGCTGCTGGCAAAATGAGAAATGACTATATAAAAAATAAACAGACTACACACACACACCCTGAAGCACCGTGGGAATGTTCACACCCGAGTCTGTCGGAAGATCGAGGAGGCAGTAGGTGGTGAAAGAGGAGCGAACAAATGTGTGAGAAGCCAATTTTCAAGTGTGAGCCGCAGGAGACGTTCTCAGACTCTCAGCATGCATGCTGCCTGTGATGTCACCTCCACAGGTCCTGGTCGGGTTTTACACTTCCTGTTGTCGTCTCCAGAAGTTTGGGCAGAAGACGACAGAGCCTGTTAGCAGCTTTGCTATAACTGTACTAATTAATCTGGTGTTTAATGGAGCTGTGTCTGGCTGAACTGCTTTTTTGGCAGGGATTTTGGTTCTTCAACATACCAAACTAACACAGGAGAATAATCATTTTTTACTCAACTGCAATTATTTGACAATTATAGTTACTTTACAGTGTTGCATATTATAATACATTTTTGCTAACTACCAGCCGACCCAGTGAAGGAGTTTATGTGCAGTGCATGTTTGAACTGTGAATGAGTAGAAAACCAGCAGCACCTAGCAGCTCAGTGCAATAATATCAGTAGAAGACAGCTACCATGTGGAGATCCAGAAGCTACAGTACAGTGGGAACCACAGTGAGCTGTATGGATGTAATGAGCCGACCCTGGTAGATGGGACCAGTGTAACTGAACTAGATGCCTGACTACAGATGCATCTACCGACTAAGTAGTAAGTTAGGTTTGCTGAGGTGCAGACAAGTGTTGGATGAATAAGAACTACAATAAAAACTGAGGCTCTAGAAATAAAGTCTAAGAATAGCCTCAAACGGGCCAAAATTGCTGCTGGAACATGAAACAGTTATCAGAGATTTCAAACCAAAAGACATGCGCCAAATGTTTTTGCATTGTTAAGGCTGTAGTAAAAAAAGAAGAGTTATTTTTGATTAACTGCAGAGCAAAAGCAATGCACAGGTTGCATGTTGTTTGCTTCCTGCAGACAGCCTGACAGTGCCTCACTTTCCTTCCTTAGATGGTCGTTCCCTTCTCCTGACTCCTTGCCTGGCGGACACTCCAGCTGCCCAGGTCCTAGAGCGGGCCGTCCTTGAGTCGCGGGTTCGGGAGGTGGAGGAGGAGAACCGACAGATCCGCCTGCAGCTCAGCCAATCGCAGGGTATGGCTGG